GAAGGAGGGCTTGTGGGGGAAGTTCTTGCTGCACCTGTGCATGAAGGCAAGGCCTGGCAGGTGTGGCAGTAGCCAGCACCGTGTGGCAGCTGCCCACATGCTCCTCTGTTCCAGCTCCTCGTCTGTGGTTGCTCTGTGGTCAAGCAATAGGAACAGCAGAGCATAAGCCTGTGCTTGCTCTGGTAAAGTGCTCAGTGTCTCCCCAACTCCTCCATGCAGAGTGGTGTCTGGGGCAGGATCCACCTGCCTTCCAACCCTTGATCCACATACAGTTTATCTTCAGCAACAAACATAGGATAAAAATTACAGGTTACATTTGCATGCTGAGCAGATAATAGAAATTTCCCACAGGTTACGATGTTCTATACATCAGAGACTCAGATGAAGGGTAGAGAGTGTCCTTATCAAGTTCCCTGAGAACAGCAAGTTAGGAGGAGTTTCTGATACCTGAGACGGCTGTGCAGCCCTTCAGATGGGCCTTGACAGCTTGGAGGGATGGGCAGAGAGGAACATTCTCAAATTCAGAAAAGGCAAATGCAGGGTTCTGGCCCTGGGGAGGAATTGTGCGATGCAGCAGCATATGGAAGCACTAAGCGTCTGGGAAGCAGCTCTTCTGAGAAGGACCTGAGAGTCCTGGTGGACAAGAAGCTGTCCATGAGTCAGCATTTTGTCCTGGTGGCCACGAAGCCAGTAGTGTCCTGGGATGCATTAGGAAGGGCATTCCTGCAGTGGGAGGGAAGCGAGGCTCCACTTAGTGAGTTCCCATTTTGGGCTGTTTGGTGCAAAGGAGACATGGAGCTCCTGGAGAATGTCCAGGACAGGAGATGAAAGGTGATTAGTAGAGTGGTGCATCTCTTTGGGGAACAAAGGCTGAGGGAGCTGGGCCTGTTCTGTCCTGAGAAGAATCAACCAAGTGGCCACATCATCAATGTCTACAAGTATTTGTAAGAAGGGTTCCTAGAGGTGCATCCATGTCCTTCACTGCAATGCCAAGCGCTAGGACAAGAGGCAGAAATTGATGGACAGGAAGTTGCACATGAGTCTGTGTTAAGAGCATTGCACTGGAGAAGACTGTGCAAAGGAGCAGATAGGCCAAAGAGGTTGTGAACCCTCACTCTCTGTGGAGATATTCCAGAAGCATGTGGAGACAGTTGTGTGCCCTCTGCTCTGGGATGATGCTGCTTGAGCAGGGAGGTTGGAGCAGTGACCCAGAGATCCCTTCTTGGCTGGCCCATCCCAAGATTCTGTCCTGCATGACACACACCCGTGCACAGCACAGGCCTGCTCAGGGCACTCCAGGTGGTTCCCACCCTGCACATTCCCATGCTAACATCCAAGCCTCCCAGAGCCTAAACACAGGGCCCCACACAGCAGCCATGCCTGTTCAACATCACTGACTCCTCAAATCCTGTGTCTTCTGCAAGGCTCCCCATGCACTGCCCTGCCCTCTGCTCACCCCAGG